ATTTCTAAAGGTTTTTTCTATTTTTAGCTGTAGAGACCCCTGAAAGGGGCCAATCAAAATAATATTAGCAAACTTGATAAAAGACTACCTGAGAATGCTACAGACAAAGTTTGGTGATCATCTATCAATTAGTTCTGTAGAAGAAGATGTTTAACGTTTTTTTTTTCTATTTTTAGCTCTGCAGACCCGTAAAAGGGGCCAATTGGAATGACATGAGCAAATTCAAGTGTGACTGTCACAAGGATGCTACAGACCAAATTTGAAGTAAATCTGCTCAGTAGTTTCAGAGAAGAAGACGATTGTTGACGCATGACGACGGACGCCAGAATATCCCCCTTTGATACTAATAGCTCACCCTGAGCCTTCGGCTCTGGTGAGCTAAAAAACTTAATCTTAATAAAACCAAGCAAGATTGTAATTGATTTTTAGCTTTTTTCTACAAAAGTGGGGGTTGTCAAAAGGCCCCAAGAAAGCCATGACTTCAAATGAACAGAACAGAACAATACTTTAATTTCTTTGATTTGTACATACTACATTATCATATACATCATATAATTTCAGAGTAACAAACATGTCAGTGCGAGCAATCAATGCAATAATATAAAAAATAAAAATAATGCTAATATTCAAACACAATATGTTGTTAAGCCTTAGTTAAACGAGGATGAATATCAACAAATATTTTGTATTATCAGTGAACATAATTTATTATTGAATTTCTTATAGTCATAGCTTTTTATAATAAACTGCTAATTTGCATAGCTCATTTCTATTTTTACTTTGTAACAGCGCTATAAATTTAAACATACTTGGATTAAAAGATAGTAACTTTTAATATAAATGCTACAAATACTTGAATAACATGGACGTATGAGAATAAAATGAAATTCATCTTCCAGGTCTTATACAGAACAACATTGACAATAACGTTCATTTCTTTGAATTCTTTTTCTAGCATATCTTCCAGTTTGTATTCTTACGCTATGTGCAGAAGTTCTTAATCTAGTAATAAATCGTCTCAAGTGAGTAGGCATCAAATCAAGATATTCCGTGCTTACACACATTATATAAATCTAGTACAGAACTTGATTCTTTCGATACCTGCCATCCTTGTATATAACAATCAATAATTCGTTGTTTAAAGACCGGAATACTGTTTTTAAAATCAATAATATAAGGGTTATTCCAGACATCTGTAAAACCATAGTCACGCAAAAGCTTTTTAACATATGTTACCCAGTTACATAATCCTTTAATGCTAACTGGTAATCTGAGCGTAAAATTATATTTTCTGTATACAATATTTAATAATGCGTATATAACGGGAGATGAACAAAGGGTACCTTCCTAACTCTCCATATACACAAACAGTACAGGTAGTATTTCTTACTGACAAAATAATTTTACAAAATTTCAAATGTATTCGTTCAATCTGTTTTGATTTTGTGAATCTCCATATTTCTGAAGAATAGTTCAAAATTGAGCCTACAAAAGAATCAAATAACTGACATAATAACTTGGGTTTAAAATCATACTTTTTACAATTTAAAAGCAAAACATTCAACGCCTTTAACGCTTTACCTGTAACGTATCTCCAATCACCAGTATAATTGAAAACTGTTCCAAGATAATTAAAATCATTCACTACTTCAATACCATTACCATAATATGACCAAAACTCGTTTGTTTTCTAATACACGCCCTCTTTTTCTTAATACAACAATTTTAGTTTTATCTGTATTTACTTTTAATCCCCAATTTTGACAATATTCATACAATTTATCTAAACGCATTTGCAATTCCTGAGGGGTTTTACCTAATATCACCATATCATCAGCAAATAAAAGGAAAGTAAAACAATGTTTTCCAATCCGGAGCTTGAATGGCGTCCGCGCCGAAGCGCGGCGCCCCTTATGGAATGAAATCAGATTTTGTGAAAGGGTGACAGCAACTTCTCGAGCCTCTTAGTCGGTCATAATAAAAGCCATTCATTCCGATCGCTATGAGGGTGCTTGATTATTATTAATTAAAAATGAAATGTCGAGATATGTACAATGAATAGCGAACTGGAGAATTTTGCAAAGCAAACATTTTCAAATGAAATAACCTTTTCCATCTCTTCGGGGTTTTTTTATTTATCATTTTGTAGTACACAGTGGGTTATTATGGTATGTTAAAATAAAATGATGAGTTTATGACCTAAACATTCCGAAAATCTATTTAAAGAGGGATGTATTCCTATCGGTAATTCCCGGTCTCTGCTGGTCTATTTTGACCGAGATTTACTAGTGACCGGCGAATAGTATCACACGTTTATTGTCCGGTCTCTCCCAGTTTTGGAGTAGATGTTTGATATCGTTACGAACAGAACAAATATTTTACAGATAAATAAGCTTTTTTCCAAAATGAATGTTTGTCACTTAGTTTGGTTACAATAATTAATAAACATGGATCAACACTCAAATTTATTGATTTTATTATACATGTACATAAACATACAATTCGATAAAAAACCAAACAACAACAACAATAGCATATTTATCTGTATGAGATAAAAAAAACACATTAAATATGTTCAATAATTGAGAAAAAAGGTACATTTTTATGGTATTAATATGACACTATCAACTTTGAAACATTTTATTTAATTTGTTATTCGTGTTTAGTAAAGATGCCGAGGAATTATTCAAAGTTACAAATTAGATTTTATGAATTATTCAATTGATTGATACTTTAGAAAATGATAAAAAATACAAATGTACATGTACATGGTTTAAGAATAAACAATATTATATATTGAATGATTAACCATAATTTACTGACTTTTTCCAGTTAAGTTTTGACTTATAATCGTCGGTCAATATGACAATTGAATTCTTAAAATTTATTTAACTATTTTATTAAAAAAAAGAGAAGTGGACGTAAAAACTTAGTATTAAAATAGCACATAAAACACAAAAAAGAGAGGTTAAACAATATTCATATAGTCTGTATTTTTTATATTAAAATAGATATTACAATTATTGTATAATAAACAATTATGCTCAACATGATCAACATGGTAATATTAACCAGTGTCATATTTTTTACTAAGTGTGAACAGATACCTCAAGAGGGGGTCTTCGCTAATAGCGATAACATAATAAGGGACAATTACACAAGTGTGGTGTTGATCATGCGTTACACATATGGATTACAAATGATTGTATACATGTATATCCGTTGCTATTAATAATCACGATCATAAAGAAATAACAAGTAATATTCTAATCTCTAGCATGCCAATCAAAGTTCATAATGAACAATGTCTTTCGTCCGTTCATTCTGGTAAAAAACAATTAACCATTGAAAAGTTTATAAAGTTTATATGTCTACTAGTTCATCTTCACTTTCTGCATTTCTTGCTTGGACGCCCTTTGATGCTTTGCATCAATGCTTTTCTTGTATTTTCCTGTAAAAACAATTCTAGATCTTCTACAAATAGAGAAAAAAGTACTGGAGACATTATCTCCCTTGTCTTAAGCCTATAGCATACTCAAAATACGAGGAATAATCGTTACATGACCTAACACAAGATTAAACTTTAGTATACATGTCCCTTATAATTCTTTATAATTTACATTGTACTCCTAAGTTATACAATATCATCCACAATGCAATTCTATATATAGTATCAAAACATTTTTTTTTAAATCAACAAATACACAATATAATCTTTTATTTTCATTTAGATAATGTTGCACTATATTTAACAGTATAAATAAAGCATCTACAGTTGATTAACCCTTTCTAAATCCAAACTGTGCATCAGATATAACCTTATTATTTTCACAAAAGGACGTGATACGTTTATTTAAGATTATAGTGAATATTTTAGAAAAGCAACTAACTAGTGTAATACCCCTATAATTGATAACATCCTTCTTATCACCTTTCTTATGTAATGGTACAATAACACCTTTCATCCGTTTATCCGGAAAATATCTAGAATCTAAAATTGCATTCAAAACATCACAAATATGCGACCCTAAAATATCAACACTTTCAATCAAATATTCATTCAAAATAAAATCACTACCAAATGCTTTTCCCCTTTTAAGTTCTTTAACAGCGCTATAAATTTCTTGAACAGTTATTGTTTTATCTAATTCTTCAAATCTACAATCCATATTATTAAAATCATGAATAGTACAAAAATTTTCTGCGTCAGGATTTCTATCTCGTGTTTCATCACTTCCTAGCGATGCGAAATATTAACTAAATTCTTCAATTGATATGTCGTGTGTAAATTTAATTTTGCGTTTAAAATAATTCCAATAACTTAAGGTTTAGCGTGAAATAAATTTCCAATATTATTCATTTTCTTTTGTTAAAAAATATACTTCTTTTTTCTGCACAAATCTTTGTAGATCTTTTTCAAATGACAACAAATTTTCCTACTCTGCTGTTAAAAATGCGTAAACCTTCTACATATCTCTTTCTTGACCTTGAGCATTCGACATCAAACTAGTCGGCCTTTTTTATGACAGACTGGTCAGAAAAAAACGACTCACTATTATATACATATGATTTAGAAAACAATGGATCTGTTACCTCATGTAATACATCAGTAAAATTATTCATAGCATTATTAACAGAATCCCTACTATTTTTATCAATATTAATTGTTAAACAATTGAAATATGGTAATCTTGAAATAAGCTGTGACCTAAATATACTCTTGTATTTTTCGTCCCATTTATACCTGTCCTCATTTTTAACCTTAATCTCATCCATGCGTTTCTTACACCTCAATGTAAACAACACCCCCGCATGGTCACTAAATTCATTGAATGAATTAATAGTAAAATTGCATAATTTGTTAAAGTTACATTCTTTTGTTAGCATATAATCAATAACGGACGCCCCATTTGTATTTATATTTATTATTTTCAACATGCAAGCATTGTCATTACGTTTACCTGTCCCTTCAATTATGAATAAAGTCAAGTCAAGTCAAGTCAAGTCAAAGTATTTATTAGCATAAACATATATACATGTTTTTCGCCACACATAATTGGCGGTTATATTAACAAAAGTAATATAATATTGAAAAGTATGAAAATATATAATTCATGTTTCATGTTCATGTTTTAACTAAAGATGGGCAGTTTTAAGTACACATAAACATATACAATACAAGACATGTCATATTTAACATATCTAATAATATACAGCATAAATATGAAAAAAAGTTTAAAGAAATACATATTTCATTATACAACAACACTCTCGTTTCTCTTCTTTAAAGCCAGATAGACAAATTTTGCAAGTTTTATTATAACAGATCTTTTGGTTGTTGACATAAGCTTATTGAATTTATTCATATTAGGCCATGTGTAATAATAATTATCTAAAAGAGTTAAACGTAATTCTCTATAAAAAGGACATATTAACAAAAAATGATACTCTGATTCAACTTGATTCATAGCTGAGTCAGGCATATTTTTAATTTTATACCAAAACTCAATTATTCTAATTTTACGTACTACATATAAAGGAAATACACCAAATTCTCAATAAACTGCAGTACTGCATGTTTGTTGTTTAACACCAAGTATTTGTTTTAGAAACTTTAAGTATACACGTTCTATGTCCGGAGATTTATGGAAACCCCATATTTCAGATCCGTAACATAAAATTGGTAATACCATTGAATTAAAGAGTTTTAATTTATCTTCAATATCTAAATTAACATTATCAAAAAGTGAGTTCAAAGAATAAAGAGCCTTTAAAGCTTGGACAGACAATGATTTTTGAGCTTGAAAAAAAACTTCCATTAGATGATAGCGTTACTCCTAAATAAGTAAATGTTTTAACTTGTTTTAAAATTTTATTGTCATACTTAAGCGATATATTTGAAGGTCTATTACCTTGTCTAAAAACCATTACAACTGTTTTATCTGAATTAACTTCAATACCCCATTTCCTACAATAATTATACAATTTATTAAGTAGAATTTGTAAACCTTGTTCAGAGTAAGAAAATAAAGCAGTATCATCTGCAAACAACAACAAATAAATTTGTAATTCCTCAATGGTAAAAACATCTATACTATCGTCAGCTAAGTGATCTTGCATATCATTAATATACATAATAAACAAAAAGGGAGATAATGGCTCCCCTTGCTTCAAGCCCATGTAACTATCAAAAAAGTCAATTAGTGAGCCATTATTACGTACACATAATTTCACACCCTCATACATGCTTCTTAGAATTTTTAACATTTTACCTGAGACACCAGTGTCAATTAATTTGAACCAAATACCATTTCTATATGTTAAATCAAATGCCTTGCGAAAATCTACAAATGCAGTATACAATTTCTTTTTATCACGTTTAATTATCTTATCAATAATAAAATTTAGTACAAATATGCAGTCAATAGTACTTCTACTATTCCTAAATCCATAATGATTATCTGTTAATAAATTATTGACCTCTGACCATTTTCGAAGTCTATTATCTAGGATTACTGAGAAAAATTTTGAAAAAATACTTGTAAGCGCAATACCCCTATAATTATTTACTTCACCGGGATCCCCTTTTTTCAGGACAGGTACAATAATTGCTTTATTCGATGAGGTTGGATAAGATCCACTTGTGAAAATATGATTAAAAATTTTACTTAAAATTGCAGATAATAAATCATTACATTCAATAAATATTTCTGGTAAAAGTAAGTCATAACCACCACTTTTATTCCTATTTAGCGAAGAAATAGCGTTAGATACCTCCTCTATTGTAATTTCTTTATCTAGCATATCAACTTGTTGTAATATAACATTATCACTATTAATTCACTGTTCAACATCATCATTTGAAAATACATTTTGGCTATTAAATAAATTCTTAAAATGGTTAAAAAAACGTTTCACTCGACACTTTACAATCGGGACTTTTCTTTTTAAACTTTTTTATTTCCTTCCAAAACAATTTCGGAGAAGTTTTTGATAAATTATGCATTTTATTCTTTTGAGCTAAATGATATTTTGTCTTTGCTCTCCTCTTAGCTAATCTATACAATCGTCTATTATAAATCAAATTTTCTCTATTAAGTGCAATTAAGTGCATTATGAATAAAACAAGATATGTTTGTAAAACATGTATGCCCCCTATCGGCAGCCATTTAGTCATGTGATCAGTTAATTATGACTGACTTTTGACTTAGTGACCAAACAATCTATCAGGGTTAATTACTGGTCATGACTATTCACTAGGTAATTGTGACCGAATAGGTTGCATGCAGCAATTTTTGACAAAGTTATTTCAAATCTTACTAAGTAATATATGCATAAATTTTATAATTTATGTAGGCCTCATTAATGACAGCCAAGTTGTTAAATTACTTAAGACCTTAAAATGTGATTACCAAAAGGATTGTTAGTTTAATAAAAAAATATCAACCAAGGCAACTTGGGTTGTTGAGTTATTTGTCAGAAACAGTCTTTACATACAAGTTCAATATGACATTGACCTTTGACCCTAAATCAATAGGGGAAATCTACTGGCCAAGATCAATGCACCTGTGAAGTTTGAAGGTAAAGGGCCCATGAGTTGGGATATTGATCCAAAAGCGTTGTTACCTATAAGGTCAATATGATCTTGACCTCTGACCCCTTAACGCCAAACAATCCATTGAGGTCATCTTCTGACCAAAAGCAATGCATCTTTAAAGCTTGAAGGTCAAATTTCCATGGGTTGTTCAGTTATTGATAGAAACCATTTTGAAATACAAGGTCAATGCAACCTTGACCTTTGTTTCCCTGACCCCAGAATTATTAAGGGTCATCTCCTGGCCAAGACCAATGCATCTACAAAGTCTGAAGGCCGACAGCCCATAAATCTGAATAGTAGCAAGCTCTGTTTTAATCGATATTTACAAAAATAAAGATCTAACAATTCAAGATAGTTGCCACTTCTAACAAAGAAAAGATATTAATTAATCTAAATTAATTCTGTAAAGAGTTATCAAAATTTGAAATTACATGTGTACTTACAAATTTATCAAAAATATTTCATTGAATTTAGATAATCTCCAAGGTTTGCTTAAATGCCAAAGTGCCAACATATATTCAATAATTAAGCAGCTAACCTTAAAGAGCTTTTAGAGATGTTACTTCTTCAAAAATTAGCAGCAGAATGTGAAAATTGCGTAAAGTTCCTGTATTTATGCACACTACTGGGAACAGAACTTTAGTGGAACCAGTAAAATGCAAAACCACTCTGATTGGTCAAGGAATTTTATCCAATTTTAAGGATCTTCCTAATTATCCTAAAAGATTATGATTTATGGAAAATTTTGCAGCAGCATCATTGACCATGATTATAAATAATAAAGTTTTACAAAATATTTGTAGCAATAAAACTAGTTACTAATATCAACTAAACATATATACAATAATAAATGCTAAATCAATAACATGTATCTCACTAAGTTTTAAACGCTAGTATAAGTGAACTCTACATATTGTATATAGAGAGCCTTACGCCATGATAAGTTACTGTTAAAGAATGTATCAATCAGTTCTACAAAGTTATTTAATACACATATTATCAACGTTAAACTAGTGAATGATAAGAATGAAATGTCAATAAAACAAAGCATGTTCGATATGATGAACTTAAATCTAAGTTTAAGTTTTTCTTCACAAATATATAATTATGAAGATTATATATGCTGTACTTCTTGAGTAATATTGTGCAACATTATGTAATGATTATATAACTGTTGTAAATGGCACCCAACTTTACAACAACTGCACTACTAACTTCCAACACCATCACTATGAATCTGTCATCACTGGCGCCGGTAAATAATACAAACGATGATATCTTGAATAATATCACAGAAATAATTTAACGACGTTTGCTGATAATTGACATAACCAGTTCATGATTTGAAGTTTCACAAGGACAAGCTTCGGGGCAAATATTAGCTGATCATTTTTTTTCTTTTTCTTTATTTGTATTCTTTTTATAAGTAAATGAAATTCTAATGATGTCGATCTGAGCTATTTGTAATACTTGCGTTGTTATCATTAAACATTGAAATTAATAAAGCAATACTTTGAAATCCCGTCAATGAGTATGACGACGATTTTCGAATATTTTTTTACTACGTTCCATGTCTTTTTCATTGGGTAGTAGTTTGTCTTTATTCCTGAAAGTAAGAATTATATTAAATCAATTGTATTTCTGTGGCTTAATGAAGTCAACATGAAATGTGTTGTACATGTATAATGATATTCTAAAGGCCAATAACAAGAATTTATTTAGGAAGCAGTTAAGCACGCTTTTTAAGTACTGGTAACGAAGAAGGTGGGGGAAATCAAAGCATCAATGAACAACTTACGGATTGGTGGTGGTTTCTCTTTCTTCTTCTGGTTTTCCTATTCGTGAATTGTCTTGTTCTGCAAGCAGTCTTTTGAAAAAGATATTGAGGTTTGTACAATACATATTGAAAAAACAACAACTTTAATTATGTAAGAGACCATGTAACAATTATCATTTATTAAATGTTTTTAGTCATTAACGGTATATGCTGGTACTTGTAATTATAATAAGTAACAATATCACATATACTTTGGACACATTTCTGTTATATTTGATTAAAATGCTAATAAAAATACCCCATGATTAAAAACAATATATTTACGATGTGCAACATTCATCTGTCGTATTGAAGGGGTCGTTTTAAAATAAAGTAACAATTAAAAGTGGGCTGATCTACAATAGAAACATTTTCAATAAATGTTTCAAATATTTAAAAAAGTAATAGAAATGTATTATTTGAATTATCTAATATATATATTTCTTTGAAAAAAAATGTTGACAAGAGTTCTAAGTGATATTAAGTACGAACAGAAATATAAAGAGTATTTGTCAAAATAGATAACAATAAAACAACATTTTCTTTTTTATTTTCTGTAGTTGATCGGAGAGTTAAACTGAACGACAGATATTTGTTTACATTGACAACTGTCCGTTTCATAGAAAGGGCGACAACCAAGTTTTGAGGCGATGTCTATACGCCGTATTTCCGGCATAGGCACATGGTTGCTGCGATTCATAATGTCATTATTTTAAGACCACATGACTCTTTTGGCAAAAAGGCCATTTCGGTGTTCATTGTTTGTTTTGTTTTGTTTGTTATTTATTTTGTTGTTGTTGTTGTTGTTGTTTTGTTAACTGGGCCCTTTATAATGTATTGCGCATAGGTAAAAGCGGCCTATAACAAGAGCGCTTGATTCTGTAAACACATGGTTTTGGTCCCGTTTAAACATGGGCAAAAGAGGTGAAAACAGCCGATTTTATGCTATAATGTGCATTGAAATACTTACGGTTTGGTGGAAGTATCGTGTTCGGGCGAACTCTTTTGATCCAAATCTTTTACACGTTTTTGTCTAAAAAATATATTTTAGTTATTATGTAAACATCACAATGATAAGAAGTTTGAATAATGGACCATGTTATTATCATTTATATATTGGTTTTAGTCATAAGAGATCAATACTAGTACTCCTCCTAAGTAATATTATAACCACAATATCAATTTCCAATAGACCACGGGGAGTTATTTTTACTGTTAATTCAAGTCTACCATGTGACTAAAAAATGTTTTTGTATATGTTAATGTAGATAAGGTTAAATTAAGCCAAGTTCTCTTTTTAGAATGTTTACGGTAATAATTTCCCTTTAAGGTCAAACCAAATCTATTGTGGTGTTATGTGTTCATGTTTGTCTTTGTACCTTTTGTTATGAGTGATTGAACTGGTTTTGCAAGTTGAGTGATGGATGATTGGTTTTGGTATGCAAGTTATTTTTAGAGGATTTGGTTCTGGGATAACTAATATTTCTTGGTAAACTGACCACTCCTTTCATTGCAGTCAAAGTGGAAACACATTCTTTGCATTTTCATTAAAGTTATTTCATTTATTTCTTTATAGAAATATTTGTACTCTCTATATTTATTCAACTAGATTTCTTCTATTACAAGCCCTGGTATGTATATTTTGTATATATTTATTTGTGAATTGTTTTATTGTAATTTGAATTGTTGTGTAATATTCTGTAATATGTATTTTGTTGAAATGTATTTGTCTTGTATTATATTTGTTTGTAATGTGATTCTTATACTTATTTTATTTGTTACAGGTTTTATTCTTTATTGAATAAACATATATACACATATCAAGGTGTTTATTGTTGGAAACCCCCCACTACAAATTGGCTCCCCGACGAGATTTCAGAAGACGAGCCAGGCGAGCTGTTTTTTCTGGTTGGAGGCCACCTGGGAATCCAATGGCAATCTAAGGACCAGGAAGATCACAGAGACCTCACCGCGGCAACCAAGGCAGCAGTAGAAGAGATCTACCATCCTATAGGTATACCTCCCACCCCATTTCCCACCCCCACCCCATCCATTTTTTTTATAAGAGCTCTTTCGCGCCACACATCTAGACAGAAATACATGTACATAAACTTTTATTTGTAAATAGACATCAGCTGGAAGTGCAATATCTAGGACGCGGGAGGAATTTATACATTTGGAACTCTGAACTGTGATATTTTGTGATTTTTATTTTTGTGTTTGTGGAATTTTTATAATCATGTAAGTAGATATTTTACTGTTGTTTATTTTCATTGTTTTTGGGCGGTATTTTTCATTTTTTATAAGAACTATTTTTCTTTGTTAACTTAGGTACTACTTTCGGCCCATATTCCAAATTTTGTGTGACCTGTTTCAGAAAATTTAATAACAAGGTAAATTTCTTTATATTTATACATATATTAAGTAGATTTTTGGTTTAATTCAGTTTCTTTTAAAGTAAATTTTTGATTTTCTCATTAAATAGGACTTGTCATTTGATTTATTTTATGTAAACACCGATAATGTAATTTTGTCACACAATTTCGCGATCTTTAAAATTTCTTTAGGTATTTTCGGATAAGCCATAAATTTCGTATAGTACAATAAACTTACATTTCTTTCATATTTTTGGTAGATCTTTAAAAAACAAAAAAAAAAAAACGCTACTGTTTATTTGTTATGTGTTTTTATATCTTTGTGTATATATTATTCTAGTGTGTGTAATTACAATTATAAATTTGTTTAACTGAATTGATATACATTGGTTTACATTTAGTTATCTGGGTCAATATAATAAAATTGATATAGTATAGATACACTTAATTAGATACTTAAGAAATATAGGGTCTTTCAATTATTTTGTTACTTTGAAAAAGATATTTAGAAAAATTTAAGGCTCTTGATTACTGTGTTTATTGTTTACATTGTGTATTGAATTCATATTATAATATACACTCTATTTCTTATCTTTCTTTCTGTACTTTTCTACTTAACTAACAAATTAACACCCAGAACCAATTCGCGTGAAAGAATTTTTTTGTTTGAAAGCGAGTGCTGTCGTGTGATTTATTCGGTTTGTTTTGTTTTTGGCGTTGGTTTGATTGGTAAGTCATTTGGTTGGACGGCATAGTAGTGGCAAATCATATGGTAATTGGTAATTAGTAATTGATTAAGGGTATTAATTGTTGACATTTTTTTGTTTTGGCTAAATAAATTCCTTTTTTTTTCCCAGACATTTTAATTTGAACTGCCCATTTTTTTTAAAGTATTTTACTGGTCATTCAAGTACTGGTTACATCCAGGAACTACAGTGTAATAATTATTTTATTTTTTTTGTGAGAATTGATAGGTAAGTACTGGTTACAACCAGGAAATATTTAATATATAAGTACTGGTATTTACCAGGAATTATTTGAGACATATCTGCCCAAATATAACTTGTTTATTATATGTGTAATTATTATTCTGTTTGAATATTGAAATATTTTAGTACTGGTTATCCCCATGAACATGTAATATCCAGGTAACACTTGGTGTACTGACAACTCAGTACTGAACCAAATTATTTGGTATCATTTTTTTGTTGAACAGTACTGGTTCAAACCAGGAATTTGTGAATAAGGTACTAATATTGGTACAGTTAGTACTTGGTAAAATACAGAGTTACCTTTTATTATTTTTTTTAATGGTGTATTGAATTAAAAACAATTCTGTTTATCAGGTAAATAGAAGCATTTGTACTTGTTTTTAATATTTTGTGAATACATCAATAAATTTGATTATTGAGTTTCATTTAAAATAAACTTATTGGTTTTTTCACCATAAGTTAGGTGTATTTCCCTGGTCTATTTTACCCATATTTCCGCTTCAGTGTCTTATTCTTTGAACACTTATTTTATTTTATTTTTTTATTTTCTGTTATTTATTTATTGACTTTTGTTTTCATCTATCCACTCAATCCCAGGGTCTATATTTTTCTATCCGCTCATTTTTTTCTCATTTTTTTTTAACCATGGAGTCAAGTGAGAAGAGGTACTTATTTTCAGAAGAAGAAATGATAGCCTTTTATCCCCTAAATATGACATTTCTCTTAAAAAGATAGCATCTATCTCTTACGTTCAAAGTTCACTTAAGGGTATTGAACAGCGTTTCTCTGAACAGCTACGAGGTTTGCAGTCTGGTATCGATAGGAGATTAAATATTATTTTACAAAAGGTGGATTCTCTATCATTTTCTCCACAACCTGATCCTCTTTCTCAGTGTTTTTATACTCCACCACCACCCCCACCACCACCACCACCAGTTGATACATTCAAACATCAAACACCACCTCAAGCAACATCTCATCACATATATAGCAATACCAATCGCAGTTGGCGTAACCGTGGTAAGGGTATGAATCAACAGGGTCATGTTGCTGCACAACAGGGATCTTCTGCGGTTCACCCAAACTAGGGTCCGCCTCTGTTGTTGGCCAATCAGAGGCGGTTATTGAGAAGCAATCACTTGTTAATAGAATTATTGGATGTTCCAATAAGGCCAATATTGTATTTAATGGTATTTCAGCCATAGCTCTAGTTGATACTGGCTCAATGGTTTCATCAGTATCAAACTCATTTTATTTGTCATTGTCAAATAGACCGCCACTGTTGAATTTGACAGATTTCAATATCAATTTAGACATTTCAGTTGCAAATGGGCAATCTTTAGATATTTTAGGGTACATTGAAGTTCCGATTGCTATACCGGAATTAAACCTTCAGTTGCCTGTGCCTGTATTAGTTGTCCCTGATACACAACAACATATCTTGTCCTGTGATATTGGGTACCAATGTTATCAGGCTCTGTAACTTTCATCTACTGATTCAAATTTGTCTCAAGTTTGGCCAATCAGCATTTGACAGTTTAGTTTGTAAGCCTCACACAGTCAATCTACCAATGACCATCCTATCACAGTTGCACCGTATGAGTCTATTTCTGTTAATGGTCTTGTTAGAGGTGTCTCTAGTGATACTAAACTTGTGACTGAAAACCCTGATGCAGATGTTTTATATATTGTTCGGCCACAAATAGTTTCAGTGTCCAATGAAAGCGGTTATGCAAAGGTGCCTGTACGCATCTGTAATCTGACTGCGAGGACATTGACTATTAAGCCGAAAATTCTAACATTTGTGTGGTTAATGAAGTTACAGTGCTAGACAACCTTGCTTCTTCTCATTCTGTTTCTAAATGGTGTGAATTCTACCTCTTCACAGCCAGATTTATCTTCTCTTGGTTTGAATATTGATACTGAGAATCTGTCCCCTCAGCAACTTCTGCGTGTTCGCCAAGTTTTAGGCAATTGGAATCATGTATTTTCCAAGGGATCAACTGATATTGGTTGTACTGATCTCACACGCCATAGTATTATTTTAAATGATGACCACCCTTTCAAGCAGCCTTACAGGAAATTCCCCCTGGAATGTATGAAGAGGTGAGGCAGCACCTTAAGGATATGCTTGATTGCGGTGGCATCAGGCCTAGTGACTCTCCTTTCTCTTCTAATGTTGTTCTTGTTCGGAAAAAGGATGGTTCACTTAGGTTCTGCATTGATTTTAGAATGCTTAATTCAAGAAACAAGAAAAGATGCCTATATGCTTCCTCGTTTTGACGACACACTGTAGACCTTTTAGTGGGATCTAAATTTTCTCTAAACTTGACTTACGCAGTGGTTACTGGCAAGTTGAGATGGAGGAAGATTCAAAAGCCCTATACTGCTTTTTCTGTTGGTAAACCTTGGATTTTATGAATTCAATAGCTTGCCTTTGGATTGGTTAATTCAGTGTGCTACTTTTCAAAGAGTTATGGAACGTGCCATGGGTGACCTTCTTTTTGCGTGAATGTCTTGTTTTTGTTGATGACATTTTGGTCTTTTCTGAAACTTTTGAGGAGCATATTGTTAGGCTTGAAAATGTTTTTTCAACGTTTATCTTCTCATGGTCTTAAACTTAAGGCTCTAAGTGTGTGAATTTTTCAAAAACGTCCGTTTCTTATCTAGGGCATGTTATCTCTGAGAATGGTATTTCTACTGATCCCGATAAAACTTCTGCTATTTCTTCTTTGGCCAGTTTCCTAAGAACATTGCAGAATTAAGGACATTTCTTGGAACTGCAGGTTTTTATAGGAGATTTATTAAGGATTATTCAAAGTTGGCCAAACCCCTTAATGACTTACTTGAGGGTCATGGTAATTCTCCCAAATCTAAGTCCAAGCGTTCTAGAAAGACTGCTACATGGGTATGGGGTGATGCCCAGCAATCTTCTTTTGATACTCTTAAGGAAAAACTTACTTCTCCTCCTGTTCTTGCTTTTGCTGACTTTAGTAAACCCTTTAAAGTCCATATCGACGCGAGTGGGTCTGGATTAGGGGCCGTGTTACTTCAAGAGCAGGATGGCTCAGAGCATGTCATAGCTTATGCCAGCAGAGGTTTAAGACGTAGTGAACGTAATTACCTGCTCATAAACTTGAATTTTTAGCTTTGAAATGGGCTGTCTGTGATAAGTTTCACGACTATCTTTATGGCAACCAATTTCTTGTTTCTACTGACAACAACCCTTTTAACTTATGTCCTGTCCTCTGCTAAGTTGGACGCGACAGGTCATCGTTGGATTGCTGCTTTGTCTGCCTATGATTTGAAAAATCATATATAAGTCAGGTAAACAGAATCAAGATTGTGATGGGCTATCTCGCCGACCACAACTTTTCAGCGATGCTGTCAAGGCAGTGTGCTTTGCTGCTTCTGTCTCTCTTTCTTCTGCTGAATGTTGCTCAGGAGATGAAGGTCCCTCATATGGCCAATGAGGAATCTTTTCCTTCTGAAGCTGCAGTCAGACCAGTGGTATTGGGCGGGTAGAACAGTCTAAAGACACTGATATATCTTCTGTTCTTTCCATCCTACGTTCTGGTTCTCGTCCGAGGGGGGAGGAGATGTCGAAAGACGTCAAATCTCTTCTTCGTGACTTCTCTCGTCTTCTATTAAAGATGGTGTTCTTTATCGTACCGCCACTCTGGATGGAGAAGAAGTACAACAACTTGTTATTCCTTATTCTCATAGGAATATTGCTTTACTGGTGTTCATGACAATGTTGGCCATCCCGGACGTGATAAATCTCTATGGTTAGCTCGTCAACGTTTTTATTGGCCCGGCATGGAGGCAGATTTTAATAGTCGCATTTCAGGTTGCAAAAGTTGTATTTGCAGAAAGACACCGGTAGTACCTGCTGCAGAATTGGTTCCAATCCAGACTTCAAGACCCATGCAACTTGTGTGTATGGATTTCTTTGAAGCTGGAGAAGTCCAAAGGAGGGTATGAGGACGTCTTGGTCATTACCGACCATTTTACCAGATATGCCAAGGCTATTGCCTTGCCGTAATCAAAAGGCGACTACCACACTGCTCGTACCTTATATGAACATTTTATTGTCCACTATTCTTTTCCAGAGGCAGCTGCATTCTGACCAGGGGCGGAATTTTGAAAGTCGAGTCATCAAGGAACTTTGCAAGATTGCAAATGTTCGAAAGACAAGAACCACTCCTTTTCCACCCTATGGGAAATCCATCAGCGGAACGATTTTAATCGACCTTCTCAGAATGTTAGGTACTCTGGCAGAGAGATCATAAATCTAAGTGGGCAGATTTTGTTCCTTCTCTTGTTCAGGCTTTATAACGCCACCAAGAAACTCTTCTACAGGTTTTTTCTCCTCACTTTCTTATGTTTTGGAGGGCATCCCCGTCTTTCTGTTTGATGCCTATCTGGTACTTTTCCTTCTAACTCTGAACATCTTTCTCCTACTACTTATTGTTTCTCGTTTGAAGGAACGCCTTCAATATGCTTATCGGTTTAGCTGGTGATGTTGCCAAGAAGCGGGCTGATCAAAACAAGAAGCAAATAGACCGTAGAGGTTTTCGCGAGAACAAATTGGTTATAGGCGATAATTTGTTTTGGTCCGAAAAGTCAATCTTCAAGGCCGACAGAAGCTGGCAGATAAGTGGAGAAGGATCCCTTTGTTATCATTGACATACCATTTCCTGACCAACCTGTATATAAAAGTACAACTTGAGTCTCGAAAAGGTCCTGTCAGAACCCTTCACAGAAATATGCTTCTTCCATTTATTTCTATTCCTGAAGAAGATACAGATTTACCTGTTGAATCTTAAGCCTAAAACCAAAACCTAGACGTGTTCCTATACAGAAAGAGTATGATGCTGATTCTAAGCTCTTCTGAAATCATCATCTGGTGTATACATCATACCACAGAGGAGATTTCCAGTTACTCGCAGTCGCAATACTCGTGTTGATTATGGACATTCTTCTGATGCTCCTTCTATTTCTATCCCTTCATTTGTTCCCAGGATTCACCCCAATCCTGCGACGTATTCCCCAGACAATGTCCCAGTTACTCCAGTGAGTGTACCAGTTACTCAGTAAGTATTCCAGTTACTCCAGTAAGTTGTTCCAGTTTACTCCGGTAATATCCAGTTACTCCAGTAAATGTTCCAGTTACTCCAGTAAGTGTTCCAGTTACCTCCAGTAAGTGTACCAGTTATTCCAGTGAGGTAGACCAAGTACTCCAGTGACTATTCCAGTCATTCCAGTACATACGCCCGTTTCATCTTCACGCCCTATTCCACGCCCTTGACGTGTGATACATCCACCAGATAGGTATGGAGAATGGGTTTAAGTGTTTGTATAATGTTGTAAATCATTTTTTATGCAGTCCTTTTTAAATTTTCATATAGGTCCTATCTAATGGAGGTATATACTTTGTATTTTTATTTTCAAGTAGAATTGACAACTCTACTGTATTGCATTATTTCTTTATATTTTACTGTTTAACTATTGCAAAATAGTTTATAGGAGGCAGTATATCTTAAATAATATGATATATTTTATGTCGTCATATGAATATACAGTGAATTGCATTTTGTTTTTCGAATTGATCATAATGTTATTTTTTTTCATAAAATCCAGGTTCATTAATAATTGTTTAAGAAAATGCCGGTGTCATTTTTTTAACTAGGGGGGAGTGTGTAGATAAGTTAAATTAAAGCCAAGTTCTCTTTTTAAGAATGTTTACGGTAATAATTTCCCTTTAAGGCCAAACCAAATCTATTGTGGTGTTATGTGTTCATGTTTGTCTTTGTACCTTTTGTTATGAGTGATTGAACTGGTTTTTGCAAGTTGAGTGATGGATGATTGGTTTTGGTATGCAAGTTATTTTTTAGAGGATTTGGTTTCTGGGATAACTAATATTTCTTGGTAACTGACCACTCCTTTCATTGCAGTCAAAGTGGAAACACATTCTTTGCATTTTCATTAAAGTTATTTCATTTATTTCTTTATAGAAATATTTGTACTCTCTATATTTATTCAACTAGATTTCTTCTATTACAAGCCTGGTATGTATATTTGTATATATTTATTTGTGAAATTGTTTTTATTGTAATTTGAATTGTTGTGTAATATTCTGTAATATGTATTTTGTGAAATGTATTTGTCTTGTATTATATTTGTTTGTAATGTGATTCTTATACTTATTTTATTTGTTACAGGTTTTATTCTTTATTGAATAAACATATATACACATATCAAGGTGTTTATTGTTGGAAACCCCCCACTACATTAATTTCCCATAGGCCACTGGGGGTTATTAATATTGTTAATGCAAGTGTGCCACGTGACTAAGACATTTGCGAAATGCATTTTTCCAACTGATGTGATCGGTTTCAAATAAACTAACTGTTTGAAGTATTGAGGAGACAAAAGGAACAAGAAAAAGAACAAGACATCATTTGCTAGGAAGGAGTTTAGCACGCTTTTTAAGTATTGGTAACAAAGAAGGTGAGGCAAATTAAAGCATCAATGAACAACTTACGGATTGGTGGTGGTTTCTTTTTCTTCTTCTGGTTTTATTCGTGAATAAACTTGTTGTGCAAGCAGTCTTTTGAAAACGATATATTGAGATTTGTAAAATACATAATTATTGAAAAAGGAAAATTATGTAAGAGACCATGTTACAATTATCATTTATTAAATGTTCTTAGTCTTTAACGGTATATGCTGGTACTTGTAATTATAATAAGTAACCATATCACACATACTTTGGACAAGTTACTGTTTTATTTGAATAGAATGCTTAATTAAATACCCCATGATTAAAAACAATATATTTACGATGTGCAACATTCATCTGCCGTATTAAAGTAGTCGTTTTTAAATAAAGTTACAATTAAAAGTGGGCTGATCTACAATAGTAACATTTTTCATAAATGTTTCAAATATTTATAAAAGTAATAGAAATGTATTATTTAAATTATCTAATATAAATTTCTTTGAAAAAAAAAACGTTGATAAGAGTTCTAAGTGATATTAAGTATGAACAGAAATATAAAGAGCATTTGTCAAAATAGATAACAATAAAACAACATTTTCTCTTTTATTTTCTGTAATCATGTTTTATTAGTTAATCGGAGAGTTAAACTGAATGACAGATATTCCGTTTCATAGAAAGGGTGACAACCAAAATTAGAGGCGATGTCTATATGCCGTATTTCCGGCATATGCACTTGGTTGCTGCGATTCATAATGTCATTATATCAAGACAGCATGACTCTTTTGGCAAATAGGCCAAATCGGCGCCCATTTATGTTTTGCTTTGTTTGTTTGTTATTTGTTATTTATTTATTTTGTTGTTGTTGTTAACCGGGCCCTTTATAATGTATTGCGCATAGGTAAAAGCGGTCTATAACAAGAGCGCGTGATTCTGTTAACACATGGTTTTGGTCTCGTTTAATCACGGGCAAAAGAGGTGAAAATAGCTGATTTTTATGCTATAATGTGCATTGAAATACTTACGGGTTGGTGGAAGTATCGTGTTCGGGCGAACTCTTTTGATCCAAATCTTTTACACGTTTTTGTCTAAAAAATATATTTTAGTTATTATGTAAAAATAATAATGATAAGAAGTTTGAATAACAGACCATGTTATTATCATTTATTTATTGGTTTAAGTCATAAGAGATTAATACTAGTACTCCAACTATGTTATATTATTACCAAAATATCAATTTCCAATAGGCCACGGGGAGTTATTTTTACTGTTAATTCAAGTCTACCATGTGATTAAAATTTTGTATTTTTTTGTAATGTTAATTTCCCATAGGTCACTGGGGGTTATTAATATTGTTAATGCATGTGTGCCACTTGACTAAGACATTTGCCAAATGCATTTTTCCAACTGATGTGATCGGTTTCAAATAAACTAACAGTTTGATGTATTGAGGAGACAAAAGGAACAAGAAAAAGAACAAGACATCATTTGCTAGGAAGCAGTTTAGCACGCTTTTTAAGTATTGGTAACAAAAAGGTTGGGGCAATTAAAGCATCAATGAACAACTTACGGATCGGTGGTGGTTTCTCTTTCTTCTTCTGATTTTCCTATTCGTGAATTGTCTTGTTGTGCAAGCAGTCTTTTGAAAAAGATATATTGAGGTTTGTACAATACATAATTATTGGGGAAAAAAAATAATTATGTAAGAGACCATGTTACAATTATCATTTATTAAATGTTCTTAGCCTTTAACGGTATATGCTGGTATAAGTAACAATATCACACATACTTTGGACAAGTAACTGTTTTATTTGAATAAAATACTAAATTAAAATATCCTATGATTAAAAACAGTGGTCGTGTTACAATTTAAAATGGGCTGGTCTACAATAGAAACATTTACCATAAATGCTTCAGATATTGATAAAAGTAATAGAAATGTGTTATTTGAATTATCTTATAAATATTTCTTTAAAACATGAGTTCTAAGTTATATTAAGTATGAAAAGTTATATGACGAGAAATAATATTTTTCTAGGACAATATATTATGTACATGTTTATACATCTACATGTATTTCTATATAAAATCGGATCATGTTTCTCACATGTTCAAAAAACATCAATAGGTCATTCTTTCACATACAATACTAAACATCATTTACATGATTGTCTATGTTATTACAAACCTTCCATTTCAGACCAATTTGCTTAAATATATTTAAAAAAAGGTCAGTGCATTAGTTTAGCACTTACTGTTTTACAATTGACAATGAGTATAGGTACATAAAATACTTACGGTTTGGTTGAAGTAATTCTTGTTTTGTTTAAAATCTTTTGTGCGTATTGTTCTCTAAGTTTTAGCCTGAAAAGGTATACTTTAGTAAAGTAAAATTCATAATGATACTAAGTAAAGAGACCATGTTATTATCATTAATTTATTTGTTTAAGCCCTTGTTAAACATAGCATTTCCCCAGATTCATGCTAATTACCATAAACAGTTTGAAAATATATTCAAATAATTTTATAAGATTCTCTAAAAGCAAACATCTCTTTTGCTAGAGGTTTTGACCTTTAGACAAACTCCCAGCTATTGGATCTTTCTTTAAAAAAAAATGCGTAACATGTACGCACATCATGTCTCTTATATTCCTGAATATATAAATATTCGTAATGGCAAGGAAAAAGTGATATTGTTAACTATAAACGAAAGCCGGTATAACAAATAAATCTTTATCTGATATCACAAAGTTTATATGTGTATCTGAAAACATTTACTGGGGTTGCTATTGCTAAGGGAAAACAATAGTTATTACAGAAGTCATTTGCTATATAAAATCAGTGCTTTCCTTTGAAGTCACTTCAATGGCAAACTCGTTGCTATTGAAAGTTAATGATTGCTATAGATGTCACTGATTCTTAAGTAAAAAGTCAAAGTTTGCCATGGAAGTCACTAGTTGCTATGGGAATTTACAGTTTGTTATGATAAGTAAATGGCTGCTTTGAAGTCACTTGTGGCTATAGAAAGCATTTTGTTGCTATGGGAATTACGGTTGCTATGGAAATTCAATGATGTTAATGAAACATAAATGGTTGCTATGGAAAGTAAATGGTTGCTATGATAGTCGTTAATTACAATGTGCAGTCACTGTTTGCTATGAAAGTCTATGGTTGCTGTAGAAAATCATCGGTTGCTATGGAAATTAAGTGTTTGCTATGTGGAAGTCATTGGTTGCCTTCGAAAGTCAATGGTAGCTTTGGAAAGTTAGTGGTTGCTATGACAAGTCAATGGTTGCTGTATAACGTCATCGGTTGTTATGGAAGTCTATGGTTGCTGTGAATATTTAGTGGTTGCTATTGAAGTCAATGGTTACTATGGAAAGTCAATGGTTGCAATATTAGTCACTGGTTGTACCGGAAAGTCATTGGTTGCAATGGAAATCAATGGTTGCAATCGAAAGTCACTGGTTTTATTATTGGTCTTCGGTTGATATGGAAAGTCAAGGTTGCTATGAAAAGGCACTGATTACTATGGAAAGTCAATAATTGATATGGAACGTTAATAGTGGCTATGTCAAATTAATGGTGTTATTAAGTGAATGGTTGCTATATAAAACACTGGTTTTATGAAAATTCAATGGTTACAATATTACTATATAAGTCAATGGTTGCTATGAAAAATAAATGGTTATTATTGAAAGGTGTTGGTAGCTATGGAATGCTACTAGTTGCTAAAGAGGTCTTTGGTTGCTTTTGACGACAGCCAATGGTTTCTATGTAATTCATGGTTGCCATGGAAAGCCACTGGTTGCTATGGAAATCAGTAGTTGCTATGTAAAGTTACTGGTGGCTATGGAAATTCATGGTTGCTATGGCAAGTCACTTGAATTTAGGGATAGCTATGAGGTGCTTTAAGTGTCTATGGTTTCAACAGAAAGTCAGTGATTGTTATGGAAAGTCAGTGGTTGCTATCGAAATCACTGGTTACAATATTAGTCACCGGTTGATATGGAAAGTCAATGGTTGTTATGAGAAGGCACTGATTGCTATGGAAAGTCAATGACTGGTATGGAACTTTAATTGTTGCTTTGGCAAGTCAATGGTGTTATAAAGTAAATGGTTGCTATAGCAATTATTGGTTGCTATAGAAAGTCAATGCTTGCATTATTTATCAATGATTGCTATAGAAAATCAATAGTCTATGGTTGCCTTGGACAACCACTGATTGCTATGTAATTCACTGGTTGCTATGGAGAGTCACTGGATGCTATCGAAGTCAGTAAATGCAATGGTATGTACTGTTTGAAATGGGAAGTCAATGGTTGCTATCGAAAGTCACCGGTTACAATATTGGTCACCAGTTGATTTGGAAAGTCAATGGTTGCAATGAGAAGGCACTGATTGCTATGGAAAGTCAATGATTGCTAAATGACGTCAATTGTTCCTATGGCAAGTCAATGGTGCTATAAAGTAAATGGTTGTCATTGAAATATATTGGTTGCTATGGAATGTTATTGGTTGCTAAAGAGGTATACGGTTGACTTAGACAGCCAGTGACTGTTATGTAATACACTGGTTGCTATGGAAAGTCATTGGTTGCTATGGAAGTCAGTAGTTGCTATGGAAAGTTACTGGTTGTTGCAGTTTTCAGAAAGGAAAATTTTAAGGTATTTACTAAATAAGGAAAAGACATGGCCCCCTTGGGCGGGGGCAATTGTGACCCAAAGACTATCATTTGAACAAACTTAGAGAGGTCTACTAGATAAAGTTTCATGTCAAAAACCTAAACTTTAGCTATTTTAGTTTTGTAAAAGAAATTCTTTTGAAATTTTTACTATATACATAAACTGAAAATCTATATTAATAATATCTGTCATATGTTGCGGTACGGATCGGAATATCCGTCCCGAGGAGACCCGCCCATTGGGTGGTAACGAGGCTTGCCGAGTTACCGCCCATGGGCGGGTTACCGAGGGACGGATATTCCGATCCGAAGCGCAAACATATGTCAGATATTTTTTCTTGCATATTCTACCATATTCCATTATATTTTAAGTTCTTTATCTTTATTTTCAATGGAATTTTATATCATTACAACCGTAACAACTTTCTTTCAACAGCGTATGAAATTAAAACTTATTTATAACGGTAAAATGATGTCATCCTAAGCGTGCCATTGTACAGCACGCAACTCATCTGGCACCCCACATGCCAGATGAAATTTCCGGCATACGTAAAACTAACGGAAACGCCAGTCCGACATGCAAGAATGCTCTATAAGGGTAGGGCCAATTACTCAAAAGCAATAATTTGAACAATTTTTGTAGAGGTCCGCCAGACAATGTTTCATAACAATTATCTCAGGTAAAGCATCTTTAGAATAATATAAGATTTTTTGTTTTTACTATAAACATAAAAAAGACAATCGAAGACTGCTGGTGCGTGGCAAATTTTTATTAAAAACTGATTTGAACAAATTTAGTAGAGGTCTACTAGATACTGTTTCAAGTAAGAAAAACTAAGCTTAACCTTTGCAGTTCTGGAAAAGAAATTCATCTTAAATTTTTACTATATACATATAAGGCAAATCTATGTTCCAATTTGACCCAAGGGCTTTTGTTGTTTTGTTTTGTTTTTTTAGGGGGGGGGGTTACTATATGCATATCAGGAAATCAATTGGCCGGGGCCAATTTTTACCCAAGTGCTAAGTTTAAACAAACTTAGTAGACTTCAACTAGATACTTTTTCATGTTGAAAAGCTAAACTTTAGCTATTTTAGTATAGAGAAGATTTTTTGAAGTTTGTTCTATATACATATAAGAAAAATCTATGTTCCGTTGGGCCGGGGCCAATTTTGATTCATGGGATATAATTTGAACCATTTTTGGAGAGATCCTCCAGACAATTTTTCATACAAACTATCTCTGCTAAAGTGTTTTTAGTACAACAGAAGTTTCTTATTTTTGTTGTCATGGTTACCAAATTTCTTCATAGAATCGAATTATTTGAACAGCTTTGGAAGCGTTTCTCTCAACAAACAATCTTTAGAAGTTTGGTTGAAATTGGAAATGTTGTTGTTAAGGAGATGTTTTTATGATTACTATATAATCTATATAACTAATACACACATACACAGATAAACCACTATATGCCACCGCATCGCAGATACTACGGTGGCATAACAACACATCTTCATTATATTGAAAGATTATGTCAGTGTCTAATATTGTCACATTTAAAGGTCCACTATACCGTAGAATTGCTTGTATTTTTTATTTCTCAAAAGCTTGTTATGTTTGTTGTCCTGTTGTTTCCAAGAAGTTACTCATTGGTCAACTACCTGGACCATCTTTTGCTTCTGTTGCCTTTTGGTAATAAATATAGCCAAAGTGGTTTAGTATTTTGTATGGAAGTCAAAATACTACTTTTTACATTTTGATCATTTTTCTAGTTTATCATAATTAAAAAAATAAAAATTTAAGCTTATAAACTCACTTGATATTTGCTCGTTGTTTCAGCACCAAATTTACCGAAACCAGAATAATTAATACAAGTGAACCAGCAGTAACAATTAGTCCAATTATTGACACAATGTCGAGCATCCGTTCATTATCTGCAAATTAAACTTATTAAATGTATCTTATATTGTAAGGACACGCCCATGTTAAGATTTAATATAGGCAAGACAAGTTAATTAGTGAAAATTCCTCAGGAATGACTGGATAAAGCAGCAGTCCTTCTGTAAAGCAGACAAAATCTATCTCCCTAAAATGAGATAAGTTAAGTCGAATTCTACTGAAATAATAGTATAGTCAGAGTCCTACAAGTCGAACGAAAAGAGCATATAACAAGACATGAGATAAAAAGCTAAGAAAATAAGCGCATTTGATATACAGACATTTCTTAACCAAATTAGATATCGGTTCTGAAATCCCTATTTACATATATAGTTGTCTATTGTGCTGATTTAAAAAAAGTAATTGAGGAAATAAACACCGCTTCTATTTCAATGGTAAAATAGAAAAACGCATTGAACTGTTGATCATTATTATGCCCTATCACATAAAAATACAGTAATAAGTGAATTTCGAAATTAAGCATTTTATTAAGTAAATGAGCAGCTTTTGAGTTACAAAATTATGACTATAAGTAAAACAAATTCTACCATGTTCTTCAAAACTGTACTTGTAAGCAGTATTGCATGACTCTTTGCTTTCATTCCCATATACCGCTAAAACTTTCAGAAAATATTTCCCATTGTCACTAGATTTGGCAGAAATCATCTCTGTATACTGTACTTGCTGATCATACCCGCAATCAGAATCATTCGAACACCTTCTTGTATAATTGTCATGAATTGTTGGTGTTATTTCCTCCTCAATGCCACTGCTAACCTACATAATGTGTAATAAATCACCTTTACTTTTTAACTCAATTGACAGAAATCATGATCACATATAGAAAAATATCATTATTTCGACCATTCTTATTTTTTTCATTTATGATCGTATATAAATCGGTGAGAGGAGATGAATTAGAGCATTTCAATGGGTAAAAAGGGGGGCTTTTAGCATAAAGTCATTCTATACGATATTTAATGTAATGTCAATGAAATTTATTTCAGTCTATATATTAGATACATAGCGGACCTTAAATGACAACCACCAGACAGACTGATGTTCTGATGACAATATCTACAATACAGGGTTATTCCTTTGAACTTCATTCGATATATATTAACCCTACAACAAATTGTATAAAACATATACAGGTAGCTTCTCATCCCAACCCTAACCTCTTAAAATGTGAAATCTTACAAACGTGGTGTATGGCGACATGTGTAGGGATCACTTCTCCGTCGTCTGTCTGTCAGTCAGTAAGTCCATTCCAAAACTAGTTTGGCTACTCATAAGAAACTACTAGTGCAATTTCATCCAAACATTACAGGAATATTCAGCACCATGTTTATTAATGAACATCGTCGGCGATTTTTAGTTCTATGATTTTTGTCAGAGTTATGACCTATTAATGATTTTAATTTTGATCAGTAATGTAACAGGAATGAAACTTTACATTACTGATAGGTAGCTCAAGTACGGGTTTTCTTGTTGAATGATTTTGGCTGAGTTACGGCCCTTTACTAAAGGCGTTTTCGCCTGTTTATGTTTTGTGTTGCCGGCAACACAGTAGCTGATACATGAAATAAAGTAACCACGACTGAGAAGGGTCACTTCTTTGTCGTAAGTTCATCCGTCAGTATCTTTGTCTGTATGTCTGTCTGTCCGTCTACTCCTCAAAAACAATTTTATCCAAATTATACTGGAATGATCAGCACTAAATCTAGTTGTGCATATCTCCGGCATATTTCAGTTCTATATTTTTGTCAGAGTTATGGTCCCTTATTTTATTCATTCATTTTTTTATACATTTTGCCCAGACTTCTTCTCTTATACCATCAATGCAATCCATGAGTGAAACATTACAGGACTGATAGATAACTCAAGTACTTGAGCATAATTAATATGTTTTCCATTTGAATAATGAATGGCTCATTGTAAATGTTGTATTTATTATGTTACAACGTCAAAGTTATGTTTCTATAGATAAGATTTATCACCTTTGTTTAGTACAACGCCATATATTACCAATACATTAAGTTTAGCAAAATTTAACTTGATTCAAATTGCTACGATGCCTCTGGCCTGTATGTCTAGGCTACACATTTATATTTAAAAGGGCATCAAATAAAAAGAAAAATTAAATATATATTTCTAAACATATCAGTGAAATTTTCAATGTCATTTCTAGTTGGACTCCGCCATCATTTATATCACTCTATGATAATCGACGATATTCCGAGCAAGTTTATGGCTTAAGAATTATCGTCGAGGTGATCCAATTTGAAAACGAAAGCTGTGCATGAAATACCGAATGACACGTTTTAAACGAAATATGTAAAATTAAAGATGAACAACATTCTTTATTTGACTTCCTCCTCCATTGGTTTTGCCTACATTCATATTTATATAATTCTTTACTTTGATTGAAGTTTAATACAGATTATATCATTTGTAAATGCTTTAAATTTAGGAAAAACATCATGTAAGAATTGCAAAATCGTTCAATTTGTTAAAACTGAGATTTGATATTGTTTTTTCTCGTCAACTTATGATTTTTTATTGTTTCAGAACTCACGTATAAATGTGAAACGACATTTGCAATACATCCTAATAAAATCAGTCGTGAACTGTCTTCTAGTTGTCCTTCTCTTGATACAGTAAGAACTCAATCCACATGATATTTGTGACCGTCTGCTGTGAAATGGGATGATAGTGACCTACGAAGATCTTCTCGACAATTTCAAAGGACTAAAGCCATGGAGGAATACATGAACGAACGAGCTGCAGTTCACTTGCTAACATTTAAATGTGAAAAGAGAGGGGAGTAAGCCGCAAATAAGAAGAAAGGAAACGTCATTTTAAGATAGATATGAATAGTTTCTTCAGATAATTTTGTTTTCTCTATCTGCTCCATCTTATTTATATAATGTTACTCCACACTTGAGTACTATGTGAACTGATTTTCTAAAAGATTTCACAATAACCTGCTTCTCCACATCTTCATCAGAGCTCCAGTAACACATGCATCGAAACATTGTATAAGACCTGCGCTTGCAAAGGCTATCTCGGATTCCCTAAATCTGATTCGATTGCCTTTAACGGAGCCTATGATATTCACCAGCGATTCTCTTCAATTCAGTTTTTAGAGTGGCGAACTGCATTTGAGACTCTTATCGTGAGAAAGGGAGTCTCAAAACGAGACATAATTTATTATTTGCACAGTGCAAGAAAGGTATTAAATGAACGCTATGAACATCCATTTGTTTAACAAAAGGCATTTAGAGACAAACTTAACAAATGACCAAGAATTGCATCTATTGGATCTATAAATCCACTTGCCCTGATGGAACTGGCCGACTTTCTTGAAAGTTGCTGAGATGTCACTCCTCATGTTCATAATTTGAGCTTACTTGATGATTGAACAAAGAACCTAAAAATATTAAGCAAACTACCAGAATTTATTACAACAAGGTGGAACAGAGAGATCAAAACTTTATCAAAAGTTCAGTCAATCTGTAGACTTAATAGTCAAGGTAGCAAAAGTTATATGCAATCTTCACCATTTGCCCTCAACGCAAAACGAAAGAAGGAAAGAAGAGGTCATATGCTGTCTGAAAACACTTTTACAACCACTGCGAACAAATCATCTATTTATAATAATTGGACACAACGACTATGTGACTATTTTAAAAGAAAGGGTTACTTCATTCAGGCCTGCAACAACCTTAACGCATTAACGATTGAAAGGTAAATATCATTTCTTAAGGATCATGGCAATAGTAATGGTTGCCTCGGAAAGGGTCAAAGGAATCATGAATGTCGGAAGAAGCCGACCTGTAGCGTGTGTAAAGGCGGCTTATGTATGAGGAAAGGTCTAACAAAGAAACATGTGAAGCCGGTAATGATGTTATGATGTCATTCAAGGTTAAGAAAAATGCATCAAGTGATAGACACACTGTGTTGATATCAACAACGGAGCATAAACATTCATGTGAGGTTCTAACATATGCCTTGTTTGATACTCAGAGCGACATAATCTTTATTTATGAAGATACGTCAGCAGCCTAACAAGTTGAAAGAAAACCCATCAAGCTAAGTTTATCAACAATTACGTCACAACAAATAGTCAGTGAAAGTAAGAGGATAACGGGACTAATGGTCCGTGTATTACTTAGAGGTTAATACTTGGTTGATGCTCTCCATTATACGATAATGGCCCGAAGATGTGCATAATGGCCTGAGGACATTATGAACTCAAGGGCCATTATCGCATAATGGCGAGCAGCAACCAAGTATTAACGTCTTTAATACCTATGTCCGAAATACGGCGTTTAGACATCGCCGCTAACCTTTCTAAGAAACGAACATTTGTCAATGTATAATACCTGTCATGTACAGTTTAACCATCTATTTAACTTGGAATACATGACAACATAAAATAAATATAAGGAAATGTTGTTTTATTGTTATTTTTATCGATAAATGCAGTATCCGTCTCTTTACATTTTTGTGAGAATTACATTTAGATCAAGTGTCAGTTATTTATGAAGTTTTGTGCCTTCAATCTTGAACGGTTTCTGAGTCTAAATGCCACCGATCCTACCGTCAATCTTAAATCATTTTTAGAATTTCTGAGGGTCATGTATTGTCTTGCATTTATAAATCTTTAATGTTAAGCTTTGCTGATTGTGATTAATAACTTTTAAAACATTTTGTGTGCAAGTGACTACAGTTCATTCAACGTCAGCAGCCGTCTTGAAAGTCACTGAGAGTTGATTACGTATTTCTGCACGTGCGCTTATTCACTCCCCCATTATGGAAAAATAATGCCGAGTAGCAAGACGGCCAAAATTGCATAATGACCTAGATCTTGCCATAATGGCCCTGAAATACCCTAGATTTTGTTACTATATATAGTAAAATGGGTATAAAGTCAACAGAATAGTGGCTATAATCTGTGCGAACACAAGGGGATTTATTTCAGTTAATCGCATGTTCTAACAAGAGAAACTGCGAAACTTTTGCCATATCTTCAAGAGATATCCAACGAAATACCCGGTACCATCTTTGCGGTCATGTGTTATTGGACTTCTTTTAGGGTATAATTGCCGTAACCTAAAGCACCGAAACGGAAATAACAAGCCTGGAGGACTACCATACGAAGTTCAGGCGACACTCGGTTTGAGTATTGTAGGAAATATGGATCTGCAGATTGAATCTGGTAATGTGAGCGGATTATGTCACCGCGTCTACATTAAGGAACTCCCTCTTTTCACATCAAGGGAAATTATAAGTGAATTTGAATCAGACTTCAAGAATGTATCTAAAGAAGACGTTCAATTTCTTAAACAATTCGAGAAAAACATACGTTATAACAATTACATAAGAGAGAAGATGGCCATTTCGAAATGCCCCCTTCTTTCTGTTATAACAAACCATTCATTCCAGGCAACAAAAGGCTAGCAGATGTTTGTCTACATCATCTGAAACGTAAGCATATGCAAATTTAGATTTTTTTGATGCAGAGTTAGTGTAATCGGAAGCCCCAGGAGGGTCAAACGGTATATCCAACGTCATGGGGTATATCATCCTTAAAAGCCGGATAAGCTGCGTGAAGTATTCTTATGTCCTGCAAAGTATGGCGGTACGTCGCTAAATCAACATCTCTGTACAAGTCCTGATCTGATCTGAATATATCTAGAAGAATGTTTCATTAATTCTTCGATGATAAAAGGAGGACACAACCTTCTTCCATTCCCGAGAATGGGAGAATGATGACACTGACACAAAGTCATACAGCATAGAGAACTAGCGTATACCTTTTTGGTGCAGCATTGCCACATGTATGTGCAAACTATGGCATTGAATGCCTAGCTTAGTCTAAAAAGAAAAATTCTTGTAAGCATCATATTTTGCACAGAGCAATTTATATGTCGATGATGGTTTGACCAGTGTGTAAATGGAAACTGAAGCTATTTAACTTATACAGGATGTGCAGATGCTTTTTGCAAATAATAGTTCTCGTCTGAATATCAAATAGAAAAGGCGTTATTGACTCAATCCAAGTTTATGAACGAGACACAGAGGTAACAAGCAATTATCATAGTATTGCAAGCAATCCATAAGTCCCCTACCGGTTAGAACCCCATCAACATTCTGAAGGGCCATTGGCCATTCACTAATGTTTCAATTTTTCTCTATTTTAAGTAAATTTGTTGAAAAAGTTCTTTAAAAGTGATCATAGGAAACAGTTTTTATGAACAGACAGACAGACGGACTGAAGGACACTCTAAAGTTAATATTTGAAACATCCCTGTTACCAAAATATAACATTTTAAAAGCAAAATTCTTAAAGAGGAGATAACTCTTGAATTAAAGATGCAATTTCATAAAAATTTTCAGCTCTTTTTGACTAATCACAAATATTGTTATATTTGCCATGTTTTAAGCCAATTTGTTGCCGAGGCAACTGATATTTTTTTCAAAATAGGAAGAACAGATAAGACATGCATAATCTCAAGACTGCTATTTACCCATATGTCAAGTTTCATAAAAATATTTCCAGTACTTTTTGAGTTATCACTGGATTCAGTTTATGTGTAAAATTTGCCATATTTTCAGTCTATGTGTTGCCATAGCAACCAGAAATTTCAAAATAGAAAGAACAGAAAAAGACGTGCATAATCTCAAGACTGCCATCTACCCATATGTCAAGTTTCATAAAAATATTTCCAGTACTTTTTGCGTTATCACTGGATCCAGTTTATGTGTAAAATTTGCCATATTTTTAGCCTATTTGTTGCCATAGCAACCAGAATTTTCAACATAGGAAGAAAAGAAAAAGACGTGCATAATCTCCATACTGCCATCTATCCATATACCAAGTTTCATAAAAATATTTTCAGTACTTTTCAAGTTATCGCGGGATCCAGTTTTGTGGACGGACGGACTGACGGACTGACAGACAGACGGACAGACGGACGGACAGACGGACGGACGGACGGACGGACGGAGGGTAAACCTAAAGTCCCCTCCGGTAAACCGGTAGGGGACTAAAAAGGTTAGATTCGGCATTCAAGGGTTTCGCCTTTAAAGGTCACCACCATATCTCGTCTTGAATTAACAGTGGCTGTTCTTTCTGTCAAGACAAGTTTATTTTTGAAAGAAAAATTAGATCTTCCTTTTGCCAGAGAGGTTTTTTTTTATCCGATTCACTGGTAGCCATTGGCTACATTGGTAAAAAATCAAGGAGTTTCCTCATCTTTGTCGCCAATCGGTTCCAGATAATCATCGAGGAAATTGTCGTTTCCCAATGGTTCTATTTGGTATCTGGAAACTGAGCTTCAACTGGTAGATATTGTAATTTAAGCTGTACGATCCTTATACACACAACAGAATCTTTTTTTTTTTTTTTTTTTTTTTAATTTGCAAACTGTTCTCTATGTCAAGCTAGAATCATAAGATTAGCAAAGAATGTTATGGATGTTCATTCTCCATCAGTGGAAGAGAGAATGGACTCGAAAATTGCGCTATTGAGGCTCCTGCAACGAAAGGCGATTAAAAATAAACTTAACATTATGTTCTTCTGAGATACTTTCTCACAATCTAACAGGCTCTACACCTTTGATACATTCTTGTCGACGACTTACTATGGGTTGGGAGGAGACTGAAAGAAGCAGATAAAGGGATTTTGTCAAACATTCTGTGATACTTCCAAAGGGTCCACAAGTCTTATAATCACATACGTGCACCAGACGGTACAACATTATGGAAGATGATTAACGTTAAATCAACTTCGGGCTGACGGTTATTGGATCATTGGGGGTGCCAAATGGTTTCGAACATTATTCTCCAGTATGTCATTTATCGCAAACTAAGACGGCCTGCAGAAACGCAACTATTGGCTGACCTTCCGAAAGATCGAGTACAACCAGCTCCGCTTTTAACCTATTGAGGGATCAACGAGTTCTCATTGACTCATTGAGTTGGATTATGTATAATTTGTCCAAAACGCAAGTCATACTTGTGGTATATGGTAATGCCTTATAGTACTGTAAGAAATATCTTGAGCGCTACAACATCCTGATTTGCTGATTTGATGTGTCTTATTGACTGTGTATAATGCTATACTACAATAGTCATATATTGTTGTAAGCCTTATTCCAGAGGGACACATTAATGTAGCGTTGCACAATTTGATTGAAGTTTGATTCCGATTATATCATTTTCAAATGACAAGAACATCATGTAAGAATTGCAAAATTGTTTAATATGCCAGAACTGAGACTCGATATTGTGTTTTAGTTATTTGTTTAGTTCTTACGGCTTTATGGTTTAAGGTCTGACATTAAACGAAATTTACAATACATCATAATAAAATCAATCACGAACTGGCTCCTAGTTGTTCTGGTGCTACAGCATTTAACAGATCGAATCCGATGAACCAGATGCATCACATATTACGTCTCTGTTACTGGTCTTATTCAAAGTAATGACATTTAAACCTGGAAATATGCCATAAAGAACAAAACGAAAAATAAATGTTCATGCACCCAAGTTGTTGAACAATACATTTTTATTTGTTACTTACGGTACGTATTCATGGATTTGAGTCAATTAAAGTTCAGGAAGAAAGTTTATTTCCATTGTTACTAAAATTGATATAAAAAAACTTACTGACATTTTTATCCATTTAAATGAAACTTCAGTCTCTTGAGATATACAGCCCGATGTCGCCCTTATAGTCCCATTTATTGTATCTTCAAAAAGAAGAGGCTCATAGTCTGTAAATACATATATTAATTAATTAATCCTGGAAAAAATACGATAACAATGTAAGAACAAGCGTGTGCTGGTTCGAACATGTGGTGTTATATTTTTCGTGCTGAAAGCATCCCTAGCCTGTCCCTATATCTAAGAGACAGAAGACATTGGACAATTTCCAAAGAACTCGTTGTAATATATGCTTCCTGACACTACAATGAAGATAATGTTTAAAAGAGTAAGTTTTTTTCTGTGTATTACACATATCAGAACAATTATACGAAAACTAGACATACATTGAATTTATTGATGCTAACCTGTAACCTTTATAACTTCAGAATCGCTGTCAGAACCATCTGAACAAATCAACTTTCTTCCATTGTCTTCCTTGGTTATCTCTATAACTGTCAAATTGAAGATGCCCTGTATATCGTATGTAAACGCGTATTGTCCTTTATAAGCAGGGGTTAAAAAACATTTATGTTGTATACATTTTGCAATTGGTATAACATCGGTTGCACACATCCACAAAATGGCAAATGTGCACTTCTTAAAGTTACAAGTAAGAGTAACATTTCTACCACATTCATATGACATCTCACCAGTCTGTTTACCGGGTTTTTGTATAGAAATATGTCCGCCTGAAATTAAAAGAAAACAAGTTCAAGACAACTAAAACGATTTTTGAGTTTATGCGCGGTTAGTGCGCAAGAAATGAAATAAATGAAACTTACTAGAAAATAATTGTTTTTGTTGCTGTTTTTGTTTTGTTTTTTTGTTGTTGTTTTTTTCTAATATCTGGAATTTTCAATGTCTTTACGATGGGTATATATTGTTTGAACAAAACTACAGTTATATATTTGGGTCAATTAGGGTACAGTGTATTCGTTTTAATTAACTTGTGATTTGTGCCGTTACCTTTTATCGTTTTCAAGTTTACACTAACACTATAACCATGCACCCACTATTCAAATGTCGTTGTCCAATTTTAGTAATGTTTAATCATATGGTAGCGTTGTGATGGTTTACTAAACTTATGCAACAAAAATCGATTGTGGGTAAATCATTTTTTATGATTGTCAGGGGATAACTGATTTATCCGTGATTAAGTGATTTCAGTGATAATTATCAAAACACTTGTTCATGTATAATTTCACACCTTTTCAATGAAGAGAAAACTTTTTAAAATGTTCACCATGTGGTATCTCGCATTTTTATATTTGCTTGGAATTTGTCATCACTAGGCCTCTTAACATAAATTACTTCTTTTTCACTGAAAAGTGAATGGTCTTAACTTAATTATCTGTAACATGTTTTGAGCTTAATATATGTGTTACGTTTGAATTCGATAGATAACGAAGCAAATAGTGGATCTTCCTGTAAATTGCGAAAAAAATGACAGATGAATTAAAAAGATACCCTGGAAGACTTGAAGCCTTGAAACAACTCCTAGAAGCCCAACATCAACCGATCGATTGTATTCAATGTGATATTGATCAAAACTATGAGTCTTTAGTGTAAGCTATGCCTTTCCTAAAATCTTACTGGAATAAAGACCTTTCAAATTACACAAAATAATAATTAAAAATACTTGTGAACAAATGGGTAAATGCTGGAAGGTCAAAAATCTGATTTTCTATTCCTAGAATACAAACGAGCAAAACAAAGTTTTCGTAAAATGCACCGGAAGCAGGTTCAACCATTCATGGAGGAGAAGATTGCTTAATTCGAAATATTTGCAGAGCTTAATCAAGATTACTTCCGGCGAACGGAAAATTCCAAGCGAAATGGTAATAGTACCAAAGCCGGCTGTAAACTTGAATTTGAAGGTATAGTTTATCATGACCCTATCAATGGAAGCTTAGATTATGATAAATTTGCATATAAGGCGCTTGTTTTAAGGTCTCCATAAATCAGGAACTAGACTTACTGGCAAGTGTGTGTTTTGGCGACCATTTAAATCTTATCACTTATGAAGTAATTTCATAAAATGGTAAATTAAAAATAGGTTATAGATTTTTGCATGATATTCCAATGTATCTCCCCTCTTTATGTTTGTTTATCTATACATATGTTGTATTGTGATACTATTGAGATTTTGTGTTTATTCATTTCATATATAAGTGTTATATGTTTTGTAATTATGTATTGATAGTTGCTGTGTTGGGGTGTAAATGTTGTAAGTAAATGTTGTGTATTATGCATGCCGCTCTCCACTGATGTCAGTAATAAAGAATCTAAGTCTTCTTTTATGCTATGTCACGTACGTGTAAATCAGTAAGCCACAATAAATAAAGTACATCGTTTCACGTAAAAATGACTTCCATTGCTTATTTTCATTTTATGATGTTCTAGTAGTACCCTGAATTCTACTGTCGCTAGGCTAGTAAATAAAAGAACTAATAAGAACAAAAACAACTTTTTGGGTTTTTAAGTTATGTACATATCTATATTTCTAAGCATTATGTTATCAAATTTCAACCTTTTAAATCGTAGATATCAGACTTGGTTTCATAACGATAAACGATTATACATTATATTTTTAACACAGGCATTTCACTGATATGTGATTTATTGTTTGGTTATTTATTGACATCTGTTCCTTTTATACATGTACTCCGTCTGTAAAAATGGATAAGCATAGTCAACATTATTAAAGCATTTTTCAATAATATATTTCCGTTCCTATCATGCTTTCTTTCTCATACGATGATAAAATAAATTTTCCCACACACTAATGTGGCAGTGGTAAGGTTTGCTATTTATTTTAACCTACTCCTCTTAATATTATGATTATACGTAAAATATTAGACTATTCATAAGCAACGTCATCATAATTATGCAACTCAACTCAGACGCCAAAGTGGTGTGACTCAAACTTGATGGATGTATAGATCTATCAATAAATAATAAAAACAATCACATTAATTACACCTCTATATACCTATAAATGTAAACTCCCAGACATTCGCCTTATACATGTTCAAATCGAATATCTCCTGATAAAACATTTCCACAGGTGATATTTGTTGTATCATGTTCGGGCACATTTAAATTATATAAATCTCCGCGGTTTTCAGTATTGTACAAATTAACTTCCCTGGAACAATTCTTGCTTTAGTAACCATTAAGCGCCCACTTGTTCTAATGCTGTTATAAGATACAAGTGTTCCTTTTGACGATTTTATTTACATAACTTTGTAGTTTTAAGGTTCATAGGTAGATAATAAAATAGATAAGGTGGAACTGGCATAATAATATACAAGTTCTCGGGTTGACAATATCCATTATCGCCGTAACAGCCACGTGTTATGTATGTACAACTGGTATGCTTTAAGTGTGATTTTAACAGATAAACTAGAAATGTGTCGTCACGCCACAGATGTCCCGCATGCAGCCAGAATTTTAAATGTTATGACATTTAGTTCCAAATTTGTTTGTACAAACTATTTTTTTTCATTTTAAGGTCAAAGCCCCCCTTAAAAGTATTCAATGTTTACACAAACCATTTTTATACAAGGTTCAATGCACTGAAACTATTCAGTGTTAACCTTTTGTAAATTGCATATTTGTAGCCAAAATAATGACTACATACATTTCAACAAAAGTATGAGTGCTGAAACTTAAAAATCAAAATTTTTCCAACGTTCAAGAGAGATAACTTTGTCCAAAATCATTGAACCACGACCAAATTCAAAATTGAACTGCCTTTTCCTTAGATGTATCTATAAGTCAAATTTGAGTTGAATGTGTACAACCATTGAGGAGACAATGAACGAAAACTAAAAATTTCTTATTTTTTTCAAGAGTTTAAGAGGGATAACTTTGTCAGCTATCATCAAATCATGACCAAATTCGAACTTGACAAGTGTATTCTTATGACATATCCATATGTTACATTTGCTTCCTGACACTACAATGAAGATAATGTTCAAAAGAGTTGGATTTTTTTTCTGTGTATGACAAATATCAGAAAAATTATATGAAAACTAGACAAACATTGAATTTATTGATGCTAACCTGTAACTTTTATAACTTCAGAATCGCTGTCAGAACCATCTGAACAAATTAACTTCCTTCAGTTGTCTTCCTTGGTTATCTCTATAACTGTCAAATTGAAGATGCCCTGTATATCGTATGTAAACGTGTATTGTCCTTCATAAGCAGGGGTTAAAAAACATTTATGTTGTATACATTTTGCAATTGGTATAACATCGGTTGCATGTATCCATGAAATGGCAAATGTGCTCTTCTTAAAGTTACAAGTAAGAGTAACATTTCTACCACATTCGTATAGCATCTCACCAGTCTTATTATTGGGTTTTTGTATAAAAATATTTCCGCCTGAAATTAAAGGAAAACAAATACAAAACAACTTAAACGTTTTGAGAGTTTATCAATTAGTTTAAAAAAAGTTAGTTAAGAATAGTTTAATTAGCGAAACTAAACAGAAAATGAGTCATCAAAAAATCCTAATGATAAGTATATACATGTATATAAATAATGTACTGTTTACTTTGATATCTATATATTTACCTAATTTAAGTGAACTTTAATTGATATATTGGAATTAATTAAGTAAACAACCCATACCATTTAATTACCCTTTGTTTTCATGTTAATTTTTTTAGCGTAGGTTAGACCAAAAAACCGCATCCGTTCTGTTTATTTTTACAATTGTGTAGTGTGTTCTTATCTGAAATTTGACGTAAAAGGGCCGAAAAGATGCGATTGATAAACTACAGCCATTAAGTTACGGTGTTTGTGATTTGTACCGTATCTCTTGCCTTTGCAAGTTTGTGCGGATGATCGCACTCACACTACATAAATTATGCACCCTCTATTTCAATGTGCTTGTTCATTATTAGCAAATATTAATCATGTGGACAGCGTTTAAATACTAAAACAACAATAATCAATTGTAAAAAAGCATATATTTTATGCTTGTTATTTCATAACTTATTTTTCCGTGAACATTATCTTTCTGCATTATTCCACGGTGAAATTATCAAAACATAATTTCACTATATTTCAATGAAGAGACTTCTTTTTAGAATGTTCGCCATGTGGTATCTCACTTTTATTTTTGTTTACAATTCAAACATAATTAGGCCTCTGAAGAGCAAACAAAGTTGAAATGGTACGTAAGCTAAATAACAAACGTAAACGAAAAGATATAATTTACTTCAATTATTTCAATTTACATGCACTAAATATCGTCTCTTATAGTTAGTTTGTGGCTGCATTCATAATGTAATTCTTAATGTAATTACTAACATCAGCCAGAAAAATAATAAGTTCGTAAAACAGCTTTCCAAACAATTCCATGGTTTCCAAATTTCTAAGTCGCTGCCTGAATGTATGCACATCTGTCAACAATGATTTATTGTCTGTAACAATCTTGGAATAATTTTCCTTTCTGTTGATTGTGTGTAAAATCATCCATTCAAATTAAATCCCTCCTAATCAAACACACTATGTTCTTTCCTCGTGTCAAATTTACATCTTTAAAATGGCGGACGACCTGTTGCCCAATATATAGCCCCGTCCGATGCCACGGATAATGTAACCTTTTTATCTTCCAGACTGTCCGTTTTATTTATTCTAACAATCGATCATTAGTGCTTTGTAGAAGCACATT